AGGATTTATATGGCTACAGACGATATCTTCAAAATTGATATCATCACTTCTTCCGGATTCTAAGAATTTTTTGCATGTCTTTTGGTTTAAGAAATGCTGCGCAAAACTTTCAGAGATTCATCTTTAGAGGTCTTTAAAGATACCAAATTCGTATACACGTGTATAGATGACTATAGAATTATGGTCTACTTCGTTATTAGTACTGCTCTAATAATAGACCTAATCGTAAGATTGTAGATTTGTCATGATGTAACTGCCCAATCTATGAAATCTTTCGTCGAAGTAACATAATTGTCCATGCTAACTCATCGTGCCGTAACAATCACCAACATTTGATGAAGAACACATTTAGGTTGGAGATAGAACAATGTATTTGATATTTATTAAAGTGATGTTTTTCAATTTTATTTTTGTTACTAAATTGACGTTACATAAATAGTCATTTATTCTTGTTCTGTGTTCATAAACACGCACGTCTCCTTTATTTCTATTCCCTCATTTTCTTCCTTTCCTTCTTTAAACTCAATTCAGTATTCTTCTCAATTACATAGAACCTGATTTATTATTATTATTCTATTATTACTACCCTCTTTTTTCAAATATAATGCTGACATTATTGAAAATTGTGTATTATTACATTTTTGAAGGAACCCAAAATGGTTTACCCATAAGATGTTTGCGAATAATAATAATAATAATAAGAAGAAGAATGACCACACCCGCAAGGCTGAAAAATGCCATCCGATAAATTGAATTTGGAATGGAGGTTACCACCATTATTGACCTTCTCTTAGTGTTACATGTTGAAAGTCTATTTTCCCAGTTATCTTATGATCAAATTTAAGAATTGTGGTTAGGATTCAGTGTCACTACAACTACTTGATTGCAAGCCCGAACAAAGAATATCACATCTAGCACCTGTACCTTGTTTTTCAGTGACTTCAAAGATACGACGACACTCATAAATGTCAGATCGCGGCCGACTCTCTGGGATTTCTAGGGAACACTATCAATGCCCCCTGAAAAACGGTAGCCATTCTGAATTATTCAGAACTGACCACGGTCAAACAATTTGTAACGGACGTACACCAGACAGCGTCGTAAGTCTTTATGGACGGTTTATGCTAAACTGAGCGTCTGTTATGAGATACCTACCGAACGACAATGCGGAAAAAATTCTCTACAGTTAAGGAACTTATCTCAAGGGCAACCATACTTACACACCAGGACATCGAAGTACCCATGAATATTGAGGTAGACTCATACGACTCGGCAGTCAGATGAGCCTTGCAAAATTGGTGAACAGCATCTGAAAACCTTTAGCATTCTTCTCGAGGTTACTGGGCACTGAGTCTGAGTGTAGCACACTTGGCAGGGAACTCCTAGCTATGTATTAAGCTGTGCAACACTTTCGACACTGTGGATGGCCAATAATTCACTCTTTTCACCGACCACAAACCTCATATTTTCTCTTTACTCTCATCTTCAAACAAGTAGCCTCCTTGAGAATCTTGAAAACTGGACCACATCTCGCAGACTGCTTCTGATATATAACACGTTTTTGGGGCATCATGACAAATCTATATTTTTGGGATTAGGTTTATTACTATAGTGGCATGAACAATTGTACTAGCATTGAAATAAGCTGTAATCATACAAGTCCATCAGACTCTGATTATGTCGTTAATCCTAAAAAGCCTATCTGATTTTAAGACTTCACTTTAAGTATTTCCATTATTTTTTTTGTTTGATATTTGGCTGTTCCCGGTCAGCAAACACTTTCTGTATCAGTAGTTACAAACCAGACCATAAAATGAGGAGATCATAGACTCTAGGTCATGCAGTTAATCAAGTTAGGTGATGAATTCGACCATTGGCAGGTTCATATTGGTAATATTTTTCATGCAACACCCCGTTGTAATGCATATTCTTGCTCAAGATGTCTACACCATGTCTATTTCCTTCCCAAATTACAAGTACGTTCTGTGAGACCAAACATTTTTGTGAAACAGAATATTTACTACTCGTAGTCGTGCATTTTCCAAGTATCTGATTACTTAATAGGAACAATGAGGTTATTCTTCAGGTCTGACTGATTTCATTTATTTGTATTTTTAAAAATAGACTTTTCTTTGTCTGTGTCCTTAGGATAGATAAAGAGGCAGGTAAGTAAGCATCTGGTACCAGTCAGAGCATGAAAAATTCTACTTCACCAGCTTGGTGTTGTGCAGCCCACTCGCAGCATTCTCATTTTTTACCTTCCATTCCCTTACTAGCTCTGATTTCCACATAGAATGCATGTACAAGTTATGGGCGTTAATTTGTGGAAAAAGGTATGTGATACCGAGGTAAGATAACAAGCAAATGAAGTATATGACATCTATAGACTATCTCCGATTATTGGTTAACTTACGGTCATCGTTAATTATACAAGGATTAGAAACTGGATGAGTTTGTAATTCTCTAGTGGGCTGCAGAAACCGGAGTAATATGTTTTTGTCTAATAAACTGACTGAACCGACTTCCTCATGGAAATAGATTCCCGAGGGAAGCTGACGTGACAGGTACGGTTGAGTTGTTAAGAGCTAGCCGAAAACAACTTGGTAGTGTCAAAACATTAAAACTCGAGTATTTATTCACTTCCTTATTTTGCATAAGCATTGTATTTACCTTTATCTTATACTGGTTGGCGGGGACGTTTTGTGTGAAAAGAACCACGCATTTCAACCGTTCTGTTTGATGATATGAACAAAGACCTACTGAAACCACTAGTCTGCCTTCTATAAATAAAACGTAGGGTAACAGTTCTAAAGTCTCTACATTCATGATGTATTCAATGGGACGTTGGGTAAAAGGAGAGATTTTGTTCAGAACTAAATACTGCTTTTAGTGAGCCATGAAAACTAGGTTCAGCTAAATAAAATTTAATAATTTCCGTAACAACTAAAGAATAAGTTCGAGCACATACGTTGCGATGTATCTGGTCCCTAGAACCTTTTTATACAAACATGTGACAGTTTTTGCCTCTACGTGAGACGATCATCAGCCTCTTATTGGCTACATTTATGATTTTGTTTTGGCACGTCGATACCTATGAAAGAGCGCACCCAGTCAGATGGACTCCAGTAGGCTGCTGGAGCATGGTAAGGCCTAGTGATATACGTGAGTGACCAAATAGAACGTCAACGAGTGCAACGAAACCGTAGACTAAACGAAACGAAACGACACTCTGAACCAGAGGGTATCCGTCATGGGTTACAAAACAGCAGAAATAAAATATATGCCGCTATTGTCGAACGACGCTGACTGGAAGACAGGGTTTCCTGTTGACTACCTCCAACCACCATCTAATCTTACAATAGTGCCCACAGTGTCGAGTCACCTAGACTGGTGGCCACATTGCAACATGATCGATAGCATTCGATCTGCACTGATAATAAGGACTAGACACGCGTGACATTGGCCACCCAGTGATCAATCAATTGTGAGTCAGGACAAATTCACACATTTACTCCGTGAAATAACTTATAACTGCAAATAGATAAGGTAGTTAGAGGATTCCAGGTCTACCCCAGTGTTCATATGGAGTCCCAGCGATCTTAATATTCGGTAGATAAAAAGACCCTAAGGTATTTTTATTGATCAACCAAACTTGATTGGAGAAAGTGATAGGACTAATGTTGACTTAAATCAATAATGATGATAAACTGTCCTCGTGCTTTACAAATGATTCTAGCTTCGTGTATTCTATCATAGAAAAGGACAAAGCTATTTCTCACTGTAACACTTTGTATCTCGTGCTATCGGCATTCTACAGAACACTAAGCAAATACTACCACAAAACGTTTTTTCAGAACTCTAAACAATTGTAGGGTCGGTGAAATTCCACTGAGCCCTAGCCAACTCATCCAGCAGTTGGGTCATGGGATATCGAGTAAGCCTCCAAACATTTCGACATAGATCATCTACGTTGGTGATCTACACAATTAAAGACGACGTTCAACATTCACGTAAGACTTAATCTACTAAAGGTTTCCTCCATATTCCATTACTGTAAGTAGAATAACACTCTCAACAACCACTACGCAAATAAACAGGGAAAATCACTCTTCTTAAACTCAGGGAAAATTCATTTACAACGTTTGCAGTAAAGAGTGACAGGAGGGTACAATGCTCTTAACTTTCTTTATCATAACAGATGGTTACAACCTTTTAGGTGTATGACATAGAAGGGCAAACAAAACGATAGATAAGAATATTTTGTGGTAAGAGTATGTGGATGGAATAATCCCTCTCCTGACGAAATAGTGTTAGGACATTATATAGTGATCTACATAAGACGGCTGAGAATCTACCTTAAAGATATCACAGACATTCAGAACTTGACTACACTGCTGTGTAACATCTTTGTAACCGAGGGTCTCAAACCCCTTCAAGCTAGAAACCAGAAAAGAAGGTTCAGATAAATATTCCGAAGATGGTTGATGAGTTGTGAAATGCATGATATAAGCTGACTAGTTGTTGCGGGGTGTGGGTAGCACGATGTACCCAACTAAGATATAGTTTGCGCCTTCAGCTAAGGTCTGCTCAGTAAAACCTATGAGTTCAGCACCAATGTATAAGACTGATCTGTGAATTATTTTCATTCTTTTAATCTTATCTAATCCCCTGTCTATTACACAACCTCATTTGATGTCACAAATCACTTCATAATACAATCTTTTCTATTCGCCTATAGAAGTATACCAACCATGCTGCTACAAGTACAAATTTACAAATCTAGTAGATGATTTCGTCGAAAGGAAAATTTTCTTCCCCGAATCCTCTCTATTTTTACTCAAATAACTGCTTATTTTGGAGATTAATTTGCCGTTACAACTTCACTTCCAGATAGACAGTGAGGAAAGCCACTTAAGGTGTTTTTGCTTTATTGTTTCAGATCAAAATAAAACCCACATCTTTCCATATACAATTCAATTTTTATCTCAGGGTTTTGAGGTTTGAATTATGAACGGAGGTTCGCGCGTCATTCATGGGTAGTCCGTTTTATCTCGTCTTCGCTTTCCTCTTAGTAAGTTGAAATTCACGTATTATACATTTTCAACCATGACTAGCCTGTGCATAAGATGTAATTTATAGACTACCACAAAATTCTGCTCAGCATTTAAGGTGCGTTTTATGGGGATACTTTCATGCATGATATGAAAGTGCATTTCGCTTGCATATTTTCTCATTATTCTAATCAGGCTCGTGTTTCTTATGGTGATTAGTTTACTACTGTTCATTTTGAATGGCGCAAATTTGTTAAATGTACACTTTAATGTTATGTTTCGTGCTTACTGGATGGGTTTATTGGAATGAACACTTGACCACTAGGAGCACTATTTTTGTACTGGTCAATAACAATATGAAAATTATTTTACTGGGTTTCCTGCCTTCTACATATCTTCATTTTCCGTCCTGTTTGATTAGTATGCACATTTCAAAGGATTCATAAAACATTAAACGCATTCAACTGCATTGGTTTTAATTCTGAAGATACTTTATTTTTCTTAGGGACTTTTTGTATGGGAATATAGCTATGGCGTCATTTTGGTCAGCGAGTAATGGTGCCGCTCACGGTCAAGTACTTCTTAGTAATTTATTCACTTATACAATTAGTTTATGACATTGTCTTACTATTTAAACCAGCCCAATAGGCTTTTTCACTATCAATCGAAGTATTTTTCTAGACACCAAAGTTTTAGTTCACTTTATTGTTTTATATCACTCAGTCATGATTAACGTAGGACCTAGTACAAATATGCATTATCCTAAATTGACACATCGGTACAGCGTGATAAGATTAACAAAATGTGTAACAAATTATTTGGAGTAATAGCACCGATATAGTAAAACCACGTGAAAAATATGGGTAAAGAGCGAAAGGACAATATGGAAACCGAATGTGCTTTTCTATATACTCGTAGAGTTTCGAAAAAAATGGTTTTTACTGTCATATCTGTTAGTGTCATCTCTTCGTGCTGATGTATTGTGGAAACTCGAGCTGACGAACACTAGTTCCGGACTCTTGATTGATTATGACGGACTAAATGTTAATCTCACACATTCCTCTCTACCCTCAAGTAGCTGCCACCTCGACGTGGTGGTCGAGCTTGGCCGTCTTACTAGACGTAGAAAAGCCACAGCAAGAAAACCCTTTAGAGCTCAACGTAATGGGGGAAAAGTTAAGAATATATTATAGGAACGATTGAAGAGCGAGCTTGTCAATCATGAAATTCATATTCATCCCGAGAAAGCTTGGTATGATAAACGAAAAGCCATGGGAACATCAGTGATATCTACCAGTAACTTAAACTAAAAGGTTAGGGGAAATCAGTGGACAACTGTTTATACTCATCAAGGAAACGGGTATTAAAATACGGGTTGCTAGTGAAACCATCTCAAAGAAATGGAACTATTTTTCACTCTCAATCCAGGAAACTGAACTAATGGACAGAACACTTTGGGAACAGCTCAGTCAGCCTTCAGCCACACATCAGTTACCCATAATCTCCAAGCAACATAAATGGTAAACACTTAGTGAAGTTGAAAATGCTATAAGCAATCTAAAGCGAGGGAAAGCATCATGGTCTGATGGACTAATCCCTGAGGTTTTGAGGATGGTGGTTCAGTTTCAGTAGTTAGATTAACTGGGATCTAAAGTAAAATTTGGGAACTGGACTTTATCTCGATCGCTGACCGTCCCAGTTTATAAGAAAGAAAAAAATCACAGGAATTAGTTTATCTAATAATATCTTAAATATTAGCCTCACTGATACTTTGATGTCTAATTGGAGTACGTGAAGATCAAACTCAAGAAAACAAGGCCGGTTTCAGACCATATATTCACCCTTCGCCAGATCCTGGAACATAGATACATATATCGACGTTCGACTATAGTTGTATTCTTTGACTTTAAGGCAGCATTCGACTCTGTCGATCGTGGGGTTTTATGGTAATATCTGTCATTGAAAGGCGTACCAAAGAAGTACATTAACCTTGTACAGGCTCTCTACTCGAATACTACTGACCGAGTCAGAGTTTATGACAAACTGTCTTTGGAATTAGTTTCTTAAAGTGGTGTTCGTCAGGGTTGTCCATTCTCTCCACTTTTATTTGACTTGGTCATAGATATGGTTTTAGAGATAAAACTCATCATCTGTATTTCCAGGGGTTGGCCTTCGATCACGAGATTCACTTGTTAACTTGGAATACGCAGACGATATAGTTCTGTTTGATGAAGACACTAACAAAATGCGAAGTTTTCTGACCATCTTAAGCGACAATGCAAACATGTTTGGGATTGGGTTCTCTTTCTTCGGTTGCAAAATGATACTTCAAGATTGACTTGTGTCAGAACCCGAATTAATGACAAGGAGTGAAGTATTTGAGTCTCATCAGTACTGATGGTCTGGTGTCTGATAAAATCTCGGCACGGATCCAGAAGGCTTGAGTGGCTTTTTTCAACTCGCGTCACTTATGGCATAAGCGAGACACTCGTCTTCCGACCAAAGGGCGAATTTACTGCCCAGTAGTTCACTCCGTTTTTCTTTATGGGTGTGGAACATGGTCGTTAAGAGTATAGGGTATTCATTGGTAACTAGTATTCTATCATGGGTGTCTACCAAGCATTGCTCGTGTATTTTGGGACCACGGAGTAAGCAATACCTGGGTTAGAGATACAGTGCTAGGTAAAGATGGTAAATCGATTGGTGAGGTAGTAAATCTTCAAATGAGGTGGTGGGAACACATGTTAAGAATGCCCAACCACCGTTCTCCTCTACGGCTAATGTTTTCTGGTGCAGGAACAGGCCGAATAAAATATAGGGGCAACCAAATCGAAACATGGCATCAGTCCATCAAGTCACTAACATTTAGACTTAGCTTTCCCGACCGTTGTTGCTACCTTGACGTGGTGGTCGGACTTACCTAACGTGATTAGGCAACTGAGTTATAATGGCTGGAACAACCGTTCCTCAATGTCCTACCATGTCAGACATGTCGGTTGAAAAGCGGTAAGACTAAAAGCAACAAACCCGAGGTCCGAAGGCGAAGTCGTACTGCTGACTGTACAGAGGTGCGACGGCAGTAAGGTGTTTTTTTTCAGAAAACCAGCATGACAGCGATGCTGCCTTCCCACAAGTTGGGATGGGGTTAGAATAGGTCGACCTTAAAAATGCACACCTCACCTTATCTCATGGATATCCGTCTCCAACAGTAAGATACGGGACTAACACAAAACTTACCCACAAAAAGGTGTGTGACCGGCCTCAAGGGGTTGTTCCTTGGGCACTGTGGTCACGCTCTCAGGTCACTATGATCACCTCTAATCCCATTTCCTTTTCAGGTACCTCCAGAAGAACCCTTCCACGGTGTGGGCGACCGGGAAGTGATAACCGCCCTCATGCTTCTAACAGCACTAAAAAGACTTAGATTTGTTCGCAGGTACAAACCACCTGGTTGGGGTCCGCGTGATTATCGTAACTGGTGGTTAGAGAATTTGAATTATATGGCTCAAAATCATTTGGGACGGCGCAGGTGCATCCATTCTTTGTCCTCCCTTAAATCCTGAGATTCTAAATTCCTCATAACAATTTTTTTGTTTTTATTTTTCTAGTTTATATCTTTTTTTCGAGTCGTATCTTGTCTAAGTCTTACTGGGCATAGGAAAGACGCTGCAAGGAAACCTCTTAGGGTCCTACTTAATGATAGCCAAGATGAGAATATATTTCAGGACCAACTAGAAAAACAGTTAGGCAGCCATGTATGTGATGCCCACCCCGAGGCAGCATGGAATGATATCCGAAAAGCTTTGGAAACAGCAATGATATCTGCTAGTAAGGTAAACCATAAGGTTAGGGAGAAACACTGGATTTCAGCAGCATCTACCGCACTGATAGATGCTCGAAAACTCATTTCATCCGGCTCTGAACATAACAGAGAGCGGAGTGAGCTTAAGCACAGACTGATAAGCAGCCTATGTAATAATAGTGAACAGTGATAGGTAGCGAAAGCAAGAGAGATCGAAAAGACAGCGGCAATAGGCAACAGCAGACAATTGTTCAGACTTGTTAAGGAAACCGGTATTAGGAACCCAACTGTTAGCGAAACTGTCTCCAAAAAAGATGGACATATTATTCATTCTCAATCCGGGAGATTGGATCAATGGGCAGTACACTTTAGGGGTCAGTTCAACTGGCCTTCAGCCACATTTCGGTCCCCCACAATCTTCAGTCGACCTGAATGGCAAGTTGATGTAAGTCCTCCTACTCTTTACGAAGTTGAAAAAGCTATAGGAAATCTGAAGTGTGGGGGAACAGCAGGTCCTGACAGGTTTACCCCTGAGATTTTTGAGGATGGCGGTCCAGTATTAGCTGCGAGATTGACTGATGTCTTAGGCAGAATCTGGGAACTGGACGTAATCCCATCTGACTGGTCTCAATCACTGATTGTGCCAGTTTATGAGGAAGGACAAAAGTCTTCTTGTGACAATCACAGAGGAATTAGTTTGACTAATATAGTGTCTAAAATATTAGCTTCAATAATACTTCGACGTCTAACCAAAGCTCGTGAAATGCAGACTAGAGAAAACCAGACTGGTTTTCGACCTGGACGTGATTGTATAGACCAGATATTGACACTACGTCAGGTCCTAGAACATATACACACATTCAGACACCCCACAATGATAGTATTTCTCGACCTTAAGGCGGCATTTGACTCTGCTGATCTTAAGGTTCTATGGCAGTGTTTGTCACTGAAGGGAGTACCAAAGAAGTACACCAACCTTATAACGGCTCTCTACTCGAACACAACTAGTCGAGTGAGAGCTTATGGCGAACTGTCATCAGAATTGATTACCTCAAGTGGTGTTCGTCAGGGCTGTCCACTCTCTTCATTCTTGTTTAACTTCGTCGTTGACGTCCTTTTAGAGATGACACTTTCCTCGTCTAAATTTCCAGAAGTTGAACTTCTACCGGGAGATCCACTTGTTGACTTAGAATATGCCGATGACATAGTTCTATTTAGTGAAGATGCTGACAGAATGCAGAGTCTGCTGACCACTCTAAGCAACAATGCAAGCATGTTCGGCATGCGATTTTCTCCCTCGAAATGCAAAATGTTGCTTCAGGATTGGGTTGCATCGACACCCGAACTAGTGATAGGGAGTGAAGTTGTTGAGCGTGTCAACCGCTTCTTATCTTGGAAGTCTCATCAGCCCTTGTGGTTTGGTGTGTGACGAAATCTCATTACGGATACAGAAGGTTCGATTAGCTTTTGCCAACTTGCGTCATTTATGGCGTAGGTGAGATGTTCGTCTACCAATCAAAGGACGGGTTTACTGCGCACCAGTTTGTTCTGTCTCACTTTATGGCAGTGAAACATGACCGGTAGGAGTAAAAGATATTCGTAGATTACTAGTATTCGATCATAGGTGTCTTCAAAGCATTGATCGAATATCCTGGGACCACCGAGTAAGTAATGTAGTTGTTATGAAACGGGTACTAAGTAAGGATGGCAAATCAACTGCCCCCAAATGACCTGGTATGGACGAGAGTGTGGTGGTTCCGCCCTCCCTCTCGAAATGCTCTCACACGGCCACGCGTATACAGCCTCTGCCAGGGAAGTCCTACTCACTGCCTTCTCGCACCATGGGTGTTGTTTACGAAAATGAGAGGACGAGAAGCGAATGTACGGCGCTTTAACCGGATTCCAAACCAATGGTGCACATGGGCACCGGTATCCTGACGGAACAAATGGCGTATGAACCAATCGTTGGTCACCAGGCTACCATGGGACTGCATCTTCTCAAGATGCTCCACTGCCTTGTGGATCAGGCCGAAGGCTCGGAGTGTGGCCCCCTAAGAAAACCACCTGCTTCGGTTTGGGCACCCGGGCAGTATCTCAGCCTACACACAAATATAATGATAATGAAAATAATGATATTCACTGAAAACTCTATTCTCGCTGCGATTTACTGCCAAACAGTTCACATTATTAATAATAATAATAATAATAGTAATAATAGTAATAATAATAATTAATAATAATAATAATAGTAGTAGTAGTAATAATAATAATAGTAGTAGTAGTAATAATAATAATAATAGTAGTAGTAATAATAGTAGTAGTAGTAGTAGTAATAATAATAGTAGTAGTAGTAATAATAATAATAGTAGTAATAATAATAATGATAGTAGTAGTAATAATAATAATAGTAATAATAATAATAACAATTTACCATGTCATTTACTCACTCTTTTTCATTCCCACTCTGTCTACCCTTATTTTTCGACTTATACAGCAGCTCGCCTATGTTGAACATTCGGCTCTATCTAAACGTACTCGTGTCACTGCCTGGTTAAAAGTTGTGTGTTACCGTCGAATACGAGTACTGAAGCAGTTTTTCTGAAACCACGCTCACCATTCAAACTGGCTGCCTTTAACGTTCGCACACTTATGCAGGTCGGACAACAGATAGGGCTGGCAATGTCTTTGGAAAGTCTTAATATTGACGTGTGTTGTCTATCCGAGACCCGTATTCAAGACTCTGGTGAAGTACTACAAGCTCGCTCTCCATCTGTCACTTCAAAGAGCTTGTTTTACGTGTGTTTATCCGAGGTGCCCCCAAATGCCCTGGTACGGCCGAGAGTGGGGAGAGTCCGCTCTCCCTCTCGAAATGCTCTCACATGGCCATGCGTATATAGCCTCTGCCAGGGAAGTCCTACTCACTGCCTTCTCGCACCATGGGTGTTGTTTACGAAAATGAGAGGACGAGAAGCGAATGTACGGCGCTTTAACCGGATTCCAAACCAATGGTGCACATGGGCACCGGTATCCTGACGGAACAAATGGCGTATGAACCAATCGTTGGTCACCGGCTACCATGGGACTGCATCTCCTCACGATGCTCCACTGCCTTGTGGGTCAGACGTTCAGGTCAAAGGCTCGGGGTGTGGCCCCCTAAGAAAACCACCTGCTTCGGTTTGGGCACCCGGGCAGTATCACAGCCCTCACACAAATCAACTGAGATTTGTGTGGCGCATATGTATTTGGTACCTCCCTGTACCTATACTTATGTGTTAAAATAAAAATCTGTTTATCCGAGGACCCTGTGGCATCTTCGTCTGGTCTTGCTGGCGTTGATGTCGCACTAAGCGCTAGAGCTGAGGCAGCACCAATCGATTGGATCTCCATTAACAGTCGGTTATGTGCTGTTAGATTAGAAAGTTCCATCAAAGTGAGAAGAGATCGGCGTGAGAAACAATGTCTTTTCGTCATCTCCGCCTATGGCACGACAGATTGCAGCCCGGATGCAATCAAGTATAAATTCTACCACCAGTTAACTGTTCTTCTCCAGAAAGTGCGTTCGACAGATATTGTAGTACTAGTCGGAGACTTGAATGCTCAGGTCGGGCGTCTAGGCACAGAAGAGAGTCGTTTAGGTGGCCGATGGGGACTCGTTGGTCGCAGGACAGATAACGGGGAACGTCTACTGCAACTATGCACAGACCACAACCTGTTTCTGGCTAGCACTAACTTTCGGCACAGTCATCGCCGATGTGCCACCTGGCGTCCCCCTTCTGCATCTCAAGCCTGGACTCAGATTGATCACATCGCGATCAGCTACCGCTGGCGCGGTTGTGTACAAGACTGCCGCTCCTTTAGGAGTACCTATCTGGAATCTGATCATGCCCTGGTTTGCGCCAATCTTACCTTACTTTCCAGTGGACAACGAAGTGACCGCCACCAAAAGATTGACGTTAGCAAGCTGGTTGCAACTTCTGTTACTAGTAAGTACAGAACCGAGCTTGCTTCTAGGCTAGCTACCATCCCACCGAAAAGTATAGATGAGCATTGGTTGCAATTGCATGACGCCATGAAAATGGTGGGTACAGTCAGTTGTGGGTTCGAGAAACGTCCCGCTTATAAGCACTGGGTTTCTTCTGGTTCCTCACAACTCATTGAAGCCGGTCGGTCTACTCCGGGTGGCCATGAGTATGACCACAAACGAAGAATATTACATACTAAATTGGGCAAAGCTTGCGTAAGGACCGGGAAACCTGGTTGTCGGAGCGCGCTAACGATCTGGAAGCAGCAGCTGCATCTGGTAATTACCGGAAGCTCTTCCAACTCATCCGAGCCACTGGCAGCAAGAAGTGTGGTGTGAGCGAAACAATCTGCGAGGATGACGGAACGCCAATCACTAACGTCCATCGACGTCTTGGACGATGGGCAGAATTTTTCGAAGGGCAGTTCAACTGGCCTGCTGCTCCGGTAACATCAGTCAGACTGTCCTGCCCTCCATGGCCGGTGACGACTGATCCACCAAATGAGGCGGAAGTCCGCAAGGAACTCCAACTCTTGAAACGTCACAGATCACCGGGCCCAGACGACTTACCTCCGGCGCTTTGTAAAGATGGTGGTGACTTTTTGACTAAGGGACTGACGACGTTGTTTACAAAGGTCTGGGAACTAGAGAGTGTACCAACGTCATGGAATGAGTCGATAGTTGTCCCTATCTTTAAAAAGGGTTCACGTCGTTCCTGTAACAACTATCGGGGGATAAGTCTACTTCCGACTGCGTCCAAGCTATTGGCTTCCGTTATACTTCATAGGTTGTTCAAAACACGAGAAGGATTGACTCGCGAGGAGCAGGCTGGGTTTCGTTCTGGTCGAGGATGTATTGATCATATCTTCACCCTCCGCCAAATGTTAGAACACCGCCATACTTATCAAAGGCCAGCAATTCTAGTGTTTCTTGACATCAGGGATGCCTTCGATTCGTTGGATAGGACTTTTTATTGCTAGGATTGTCTATTGAAGAAGGGTGTGACTGAGAAGTTTATTAACATCCTAAAAGCCCTATATACAAACACCTCAGGCAGAGTGATGGCATACAACCACCTTTCTCCATTATTCCATTCGAGCAGTGGGGTTAGGCAGGGTTGCCCAATCTCACCATTCCTCTTCAACTTTGCCTTCGATGACATTCTGGAAACAGCTCTGGCGGATGTAAGTAATGGTGGTGTGGATCTGTTGCCTGGAGAAAGACTTCTCGACCTTGAGTATGCGGATGATATTGTCTTACTGTGCGAGAATGTTCAAGCCATGCAATCCGCACTTAATCAGTTGGCAATCAATGTCCGTAGGTATGGTATGTGCTTTGCACCTTCGAAGTTCAAAGTACTTCTACAAGACTGGCAGGATTCTAATCCTGTACTCACTCTGGATGGTGAGCAGATAGAAGTAGTCTAGAAGTTCGTGTACCTGGGTAGCTGCATAAGTGCTGGTGATGGCATGAGTGATGAGATCGATCCAAGTATAACGAAAGCCAGAGCGGCTTATGCCAATCTGGGTCATCTTTTGAGCCTTCGTGATGTCAGTCTGGCTGTAAGAGGTCGGATCTACAACACGTCGGTGAGAGCAGTTCTGTTCTATGCTTGTGAAACCTGGCCTCTCCTAGTTGAGGATGTTAGACGACTCTCTGTATTCGATCATCGCTGTCTCCGAAGGATTGCTGACATCCAGTGGCAACACCATGTTAGTAATGCAGAGGTTCGGCATCGTGTGTTCGGGCGCAGAGACGATAATGCAATTGGTGTCACCATCTTGAAACATCGACTTTGGTGGCTTGGACATGTTCTACGAATGTCGTCCTAGAGAATTTCACGTCGTGTATTATTTGCCCACTCTGGGACTGGTAGGAAAAAGTGGAGAGGTGGTCAGTATATGACATGGTGTCGCGGTATGAAAGAAAGCTGCAAAGGGCTGGCATCTGTTGGTCCTTCAAGACTTCCTGGTTGGGGTCCGAGAGATGGTGTAACACAGTTGCTAGAGACGTTATCAGATATGGCTCATAATAGAAGCCAGTTTCGATCCTGCTGTAACCTTTTACTTTCTTCGTAAAGAGTGGTTGCTTCTTTCTTAACTATAAGATTTCTTCTGATTGTACCTTTTCGTTTCCCCCATTTTTGTTCTTTTTTATATATATATTCCCTACGTTCCTTACCTTTTTTCCCTTCTCTTTAAATTCTCATTGTTTTATGTGGTGCATATGTATTTGGTGCCCCCTTGTACCAATATTTATGTGTTTCAATAAATAAATAAGTATTCGATCATAGGTGTCTTCGAAGCATTGGTCGTATATCCTGGGACCACCGAGTAAGTAATGTAGTTGTTACGAAACGGGTACTAGGTAAGGATGGCAAGTCAACTGATGAAGTAGTGAAACTTCATCAGTTTAGATGGCTGGGACACGTGTTATATATGCTCAACCACTGACTGCCCCGACGTGCGATGTTTTATGGTGTAGGAGTAGGTTAGAAGAAAACTAGGGGTGGCTAGACCAAAACATAGCGCAAACCCATGAAGTCACTGACAGGTGGACTGAGCCATGTTGGTAGGTGTAGACTACCTGTTTGGGATCCGCGAGACGATAGCAACCGACGGTTAGAGACCTTGAATGACATGGCTCAAAACCGTTTACAATGGCGCAGGTGCATACACTGTTTGTGTTCTCCAAAATTCTAATCTTCTGAATTCGTGTCGTTTTTTTCTCCTTCCAAATTTATTTCACTGAATTATAATCTTTGAATAACATCTTCAAATCCTAATCTTTCCAATTACTGCTTATACTCTTACTACCTCTACCGCTATAGGATTTGGATCGACAATTGTATCTCTGTGCAAATGTATGGCAACTCGAACTGATATATGTGCATACGAAGTTCTACGTTGCTGATGACGGACTGACGTATCTTCGATGCCTATTCTTTCCTATTACCTCTGATACTGTTATTACTCCTATTATTCTGGGATTTAGCCCGACAACTTCATCTGTCTGTGCTAATGGGGTATTGGGACTTGGACCGATGTACATAAGTACACGTTCTACGTTGTGACTGACTGCCCTTAGGTTTTTCAAATTGCAAAATTTCATTTATGATTGCACTTTGTCGTAAATAGTTCATTTTTATAATCTCGATGACTAAAATGTATTTACATTTATTCTTCAGTTAACTAATCGTCTCAAAGTTATATTTAGGTTATTATTTATTATTTATTGATTTTAACACATAGGTATTGGTACAAGGAGGCACCAAATACATATGCGCCACAAGAATCTTAATTGATTTGTGTGAGGGCTGTGATACTGCCCGGGTGCCCAAACCGAAGCAGGTGGTTTTCTTAGAGGGCCACACCCCGAGCCTTCGACCTTAACGTCTGACCCACAAGGCAGTGGAGCATCGTGAGGAGATGCAGTCCCATGGTAGCCGGTGACCAACGATTGGTTCATACGCCATTTGTTCCTTCAGGATACTGGAGCCCATGTGCACCATTGGTTTGGAATCCGGTTAAAGCGCCGTACATTCGCTTCTCGTCCTCTCATTTTCGTAAACAACACCCATGGTGCGAGAAGGCAGTGAGTAGGACTTCCCTGGCAGAGGCTGTATACGCGTGGCCGTGTGAGAGCATTTCGAGAGGGAGAGCGGACTCTCCCCACTCTCGGCCATACCAGGGCATTTGGGGGCGGTTAAGCTAATATTTTACGCAGTATTTTTATTAAATGTTAGGCTATATAGCAATAAATTAATTAGAATGATACCAGTTCATTCACTACACTATATCGACCATGCAGTGGTTAAGGAGATCATATTTTAACGAGTAGCATGATTTTTGCTATTATGGGCTTTTGTATTCGATTTCATTCACCCTTATTTCAAACAAATTTTCATTTTAGGAAGTGTAAAACTAGTATGCCAGTTTCGTGTTGCAGATGTCAGTCAAAGGGTTATATTAAACGCCCGAAAACCGTATATATCTTTTGAATTATTTTTCAACTTGACTTATATAGAGTGATATTATGTGTAAAGAATGTTTTTCTTGGTGTTTCGAAGAAGAAATACATTGGACAATTGTACATGCCAAGCTTATTAGTCGTGGTGATAAAATTGCTATTGGTGCCTCCGGTGGTAAAGGTAAACATAATCATAGGTTTCCTTTTATTAATCGATGATGAAATACAGATATTTAAGCTAGAAAAATTTCCTCAGTTGAAATCACGAGTCAATCTAAGCTAGGCCAACATTAGAAACTTAAAAGCACTAGGCTGCCGTTTCGTCTTATCATGGGGCTCCTCACCGGTGCGCATCCGCGATCCCTCATGCGTGACTCGAGCTCAGAACTTTCGGCTTTACGCGTGAACGCTTAACTTATGGATAATTTCGTTGACCTAAGCTGCACGATTGCACTGTATTTTTTATTGTGTCATTTGCTAAAAATAGTAGTAATCTGTAGTAAAATAGAATGTTGTTGAATAAATTTAAAAAATGATTTAGCATCGTTTTATAAGTTCACGAAAACCTCATATTGAAAGGAAGTTGAGCAATGGTCTAACTGTTAATAGAAAATATCAAGGTTTAGATAATTGTCTACTTGATAAATATTAACAATAGAACAATTGACTGTTGTAGTGATAGCTGATTATTAGTTTCTAAAAATAATTAGGTGTAGAAAAATAAAACGAAGGAAGTCTATATAAATGTATATATATTTATATTTTTAGATTCTACCGTATTAGCTTATATACTAAACTTGTTAAATAAAAGATATGACTATGGAGCGGAATTGCTTCTTTTATCTATTGATGAAGGTATAAGTGGATATAGAGATGATTCATTAATGGTAAGGTTTGTTTTATTTTTAGTTAAAATATTTTTTAGACTGTTCAGCGAAATCAGATCCAATATGGACTTCCGTTAAAAATTCTTTCCTATCAGGTAAATTCTCTCCTTCACAGTCTAAACGATTTTTAGGATTTGTACGGATGGTCAATGGATGATATTGTGAAGCATATTGGGAATAAACGAAATTGTAATTGATGCACTAGTGTTTTTGTTTATTGAAAAAATTTGGTAGGTACTTACTGTGGGATATTTCGCCGTCAGGCTTTGGACAAAGGTGCACTACTTCTGGGAGCTAACAAAATATGTACTGGTCATAACGCTGATGATATTGCAGAGACAGTGTTAATGAATAGTAAGTTTCAACTACTCGGTTTAAACATGTTTTGGTTTGCTGAGAGTTTTATATGCTTTTTATGGGATTTTATGTGCTGAATTGAAACAGGAACAGTTTTATCATTTCCCATTTTATGCTTACAGTTCTACGAGGTGATATTGGTCGATTAAAACGATGTACAGCTATAATGACAGTAAGTAATGGAAAAACTATAAGCTTTCAAGTTGATTCTACACATACAAATATATTTAGGGTACAGATGATATACTTCCTCGTTTTAAACCTTTTAAATATGCTTACGAAAAGGAGATTGTTATGTATGCACATATGCATAAACTGGATTATTTTTCAACTGAATGTAAATACGCACCACAAGCTTATCGGTAAGTAGTGGTATTTTTATTATTTTTATTTTTATTATTTAGAGGGCATGTAAGAACGTTTATCAAGGATTTGGAGAGAATACGACCTAGGGCTATCATAGGTAGGTTGCTTTCTGTTAGAGTCGAATCCACCCTATTTGATTTAGATATTATAGCATCCGGTGAACGTATGGCTATTCGAAGTGATGTAAAGATGCCTCAGAAAAGTATGTCTTCACTTTCAAATAAAAACATTGTACTCATTTTATTATTGTATGCAAATCAAATGCATGTCAGATTTTTATCATCAGTTCAGCACTAATATAACCTGTGCTACTATTTCGATTGTCACAACCTTGTAGTATCTGTAGTCCGTCCATATTAATTGTCACTCGTAGTTTACTAAACTAAACCATACGCGGTTATTGAGTTGATACTCATTATGTGTCTAAAATACACATTTTAAATACCAACTTTTGAGCTTCAGTGTGGGCGTTTAGTGTACGAGATCTACTATAACTGGAAAAAAACCCAACTAATGTCACGCAGTCGGATTATTTGAAGTATAGTGAATTAGGTATAGATGCCCTGGTATGGCCGAGAGCGGGGAGGGTTCGCCCTCCCTCTCGAAATACTCTCACACGGCCACGCGTATACAGCCTCTGCCAGGGAAGTCCTACTCACTGCCTTCTCGTGGCGGGGGTGTTGTTTACGAAAATGAGAGGACGAAAAGCGAACATCCGGCGCTATAACCGGATCCCAATTCTATGGTGCACATGGGCTCCATTATCCTGAAGGAACAAATGGCGTATGAACCAACTTTTGGTCACCGGCTTCCATGGGACTGCATCTCCTCACGATGCTCCACTGCCTTGTGGACTAGACCTTTAGGTCAAAGGCTCGGGGTGTGGCCCCCTAAGAAAACCACCTGCTTCGGTTTGGGCACCCGGGCAGTATCTCAGCCCACACACGAAAACATGATGAAATATTCGCTTACGGAAAATATTCGTTCTTCTCTGACTAACATTGAAATGACTGATACTATTATTATTATTATTATTATTATTATTATTATTATTATTATTATTATTATTATTATTATTATTTACTACGTCATTTACTCACTATCTCCTATTTCTACTTTTTTTATCCGTTTCGACTCAGACAGCAGCTCGCCTATGGTAAAAATTCAGCTTTATCTAAACGTTCTCGAGTCACTGCCTGGTTTGAAAATTGTATGTTACCATCGAATACGAGTACTGAAGCAGTCTTTCTGAAACCACGTGCACCATTCAAACTGGCTGCCTTTAACGTTCGCACACTTATGCAGGTCGGACAACAGATAGGGCTGGCAATGTCTTTGGAAAGTCTTAATATTGATGTGTGTTGTCTATCCGAGACCCGTATTCAAGACTCTGGTGAAGTACTACAAGTTCGCTCTCCATCTGTCGCTCCAAAAAGCTTGTTTTACGTGCGTTTATCCGGGAACCCTGTGGCATCTTCGTCTGGTCTTGCTGGCGTTGGTGTCGCACTAAGCGCAAGAGCTGAGGCAGCACTAGTCGACTGGATCCCCATTAACAGTCGGTTATGTGCTGTTAGACTAGAAAGTACCATCAGAGTGAGAAGAAATCGGCGTGAGAAACGATGTCTTTTCGTCATCTCCGCCTATGCCCCGACAGATTGCAGCCCGGATGCAATCAAGGATGAGTTCTACCACCAGTTATCTGTTCTTCTCCAGAAAGTGCGCTCGACAGATATTGTAGTACTAGTCGGAGACTTGAATGCTCAGGTCGGGCGTCTAGGCACAGAAGAGAGTCGTTTAGGTGGCCGATGGGGACTCGTTGGTCGCAGGACAGATAACGGGGAACGTCTACTGCAACTATGCACAGACCACAACCTGTTTCTGGCTAGCACTAACTTTCGGCACAGTCATCGCCGATGTGCCACCTGGCGTCCCCCTTCTGCATCTCAAGCCTGGACTCAGATTGATCACATCGCGATCAGCTACCGCTGGCGCGGTTGTGTACAAGACTGCCGCTCCTTTTGGAGTACCTATCTGGAATCTGATCATGCTCTGGTCTGCGCCAATCTTACCTTACTTTTCAGTGGACAACGAAGTGACCGCCACCACAGGATTGATGTTAGCAAGCTGGCTGCAACTTCTGTTGCTAGCAAGTACCGAGCCGAGCTAGCTTCTAGGCTAGCCACTATTCCACCGAAAAGTATAGATGAGCATTGGTTGCAATTGCATGACGCCATGAAAATGGCGGGTCAAGTCAGCTGTGGGATTGCGAAACGTCCCGCTTACAAGCACTGGGTTTCTTCTGGTTCCTTACAACTGATTGAAGCCCGTCGGTCTACTCCGGGTGACCGTGAGTTTGACCACAGACGAAGGTTGTTACGTAATGAAATCGGGCAAAGCTTGCGTAAGGACCGAGAAACCTGGTGGTCGGAGCGTGCCAGTGAGTTGGAAGCAGCAGCTGCATCTGGTAATTACCTGAAGCTCTTCCAACTCATCCGAGCCACCGGCAGCAAGAAGTCTGGTGTGAGCGAAACAATCTGCGAGGATGACGGAACGCCAATCACTAACATCCATCGACGTCTTGGACGATGGGCAGAATTCTTTGAAGGGCAGTTCAACTGGCCTGCTGCTCCGGTAACATCGGTCAGACTGTCCTGCCCTCCTTGGCCGGTGACGACTGATCCACCAAATGAGGCGGAAGTCCGCAAGGAACTCCAACTCTTGAAACGTTACAAATCACCAGGCCCAGACGACTTACCCCCGGCTCTTTTTAAACATGGTGGTGACTTTCTGACTAAGGGACTGACGACGTTGTTTACAAAGATCTGGGAACTAGAGAGTGTACCAACGTCATGGAATGAGTCGATAGTTGTCCCTATCTTTAAAAAAGGTTCACGTTGTTCCTGTAACAACTATCGGGGGATAAGTCTACTTCCGATTGCGTCCAAGCTATTGGCTTCCGTCATACTTCGTAGGTTGTTCAGAACCCGAGAAGGATTGACTCGCGAGGAGCAGGCTGGGTTTCGTTCTGGTCGAGGATGTATTGATCATATCTTCACCCTCCGCCAAGTGTTAGAACACCGCCATACTTATCAAAGGCCAACAATCGTAGTGTTTCTTGATATCAAGGCTGCTTTCGATTCGTTGGACAGAACTGTTCTCTGGGATTGTCTATTGAAGAGGGGTGTGCCTGAGAAGTTTATTAACATCCTAAAAGCCCTATATACAAACACCTCAGGCAGAGTGATGGCATACAACCACCTTTCTCCATTATTCCATTCGAGCAGTGGAGTTAGGCAGGGTTGCCCAATCTCACCATTCCTCTTCAACTTTGCCATCGATGACATTCTGGAAACAGCTCTGACGGATGTAAGTAATGGTGGTGTGGATCTGTTGCCTGGAGAAAGACTTCTCGACCTTGAGTATGCGGATGATATTGTCTTACTGTGCGAGAATGCCCAAGCCATGCAATCCGCACTTAATCAGTTGGCAATCAGTGTCCGTAGGTATGGTATGTGCTTTGCACCCTCGAAGTGCAAAGTACTTCTACAAGACTGGCAGGATTCTAATCCTGTACTCACTCTGGATGGTGAGCAGATAGAAGTAGTCTAGAAGTTCGTGTACCTGGGTAGCTGCATAAGTGCTGGTGATGGCATGAGTGATGAGATCGATTCAAGTATAACGAAAGCCAGAGCGGCTTATGCCAATCTGGGCCATCTTTGGCGCCTTCGTGATGTTAGTCTGGCTGTAAGAGGTCGGATCTACAACGCGACGGTGAGAGCAGTTTTGCTCTATGCTTGTGAAACCTGGCCTCTCCTAGTTGAGGATGTTAGACGACTCTCTGTGTTCGATCATCGTTGCCTCCGAAGGATTGCTGGCATCCAGTGGCAACACCATGTCAGTAATGCAGAGGTTCGGCATCGAGTGTTCGGTCACAGAGACGATAATGAAATTGGTGTCACCATCTTGAAACACCGACTTCGGTGGCTTGGACATGTTCTACGAATGTCGTCCCAGAGAATTCCTCGTCGTGCATTATTTGCCGACTCTGGGACTGGTTGGAAAAAGCGGAGAGGTGGTCAGTATATGACATGGTGTCGTGGTATGAAAGAAGGCTGCAAAGGGCTAGCTTATGTTGGTCCTTCACGACTCCCTGGTTGGGGTCCGAGAGATGGTGTAACGCAGTGGCTAGAGACGTTATCAGATATGGCTCAGAATAGAAGCCAGTGGCGATCCTGCTGTAACCTTCTTTTACTTTCTTCATAAAAAGGTGATCGTATTCTTCCTTAACTGAAAGATCTGTTCTGATTGTACCTTTCCGTTTCCCCCACCATTGTTCTCTCTCTCTCTCTCTTCTTTTTTTTATAATTCCCCACGTTCATTACTTTTTTTTTTCTTCTCTTTTCTCCTTCTCTTCTAATTATCACTGTTTTGTGTGGCGCATATATATTTGGTGCCCCCCTGTACCAATATTTATGTGTTCAAATAAATAAATAAATAAATAATGTCACGCAGTCGGATTATTTGAAGTATAGTGAATTAGGTATAGATGATTTGTTGCGTTGATCCCAACATTTATAGTTAGTCATGCGTTATATTTTTTTAACAATTGCCAGTTTGATCACTTCTCATCTAGTGTCCGTACTGATCATAATTAACAATATATTAATACGAATATTTTATTAATTTTTATCTATTTCTCATATTCTAACAAGTTACTTTATTCCTTTGTAGTTTACTAAATTTGATGATTTGTGCCTAACTAGTTTTGTTTTAGACAGATAAAACTTAGTTTTACATTTCAAATCTAGTCTTAATATTTTACTATTTATTTTTCCACTAACCGATTTAGTTTTAAAGCTAAGTTTAAGTGAGAACGCTAAAGAAAAACAATATTCTGCTTATGTTAATGCAAAAATATTTGGTACATGTTTCTTACGCTTGATATCCGAAATTCTACTTCAATTTTAATCTATGTTGATGTCTGGTTCGACAATAAGGAGTGAAGTATTTGAACACATAGACCACTTCAATCACCACTTTGAGTGGGTTGATGTCAGGAAAAATCTTTGTACATGAGTACAAAGGTCTTGTTTGGCTTCTACCAACTAATGCTGTTTATAGTTCGGGTTAGATGTCTTTTTCTTTATCATCTCTAGATCACACTTTATTGGGTACATGTTCTTTTCATTTTATATGACTTACACAAATCTCTGTAAATCAGCTACTTACAGGTTTGTTTATTTTGGTTTCCTTCCTGTTTAGGTGTTTGTGAAAAGTGTGGATGCATTTCAAGTCAGCCTATATGTCAGGCATGCATTCTCCTAGAACAGCTTAATTCCGGTTTACCACAGATAACCATAAAAGATACCGAACAGCATTCTCAAATTGACTAGTCGGGCGATATCAATTTTTCTAGAGATTTTATATTATATATCAGATATTGTAAATATATTCCTATTCGGATAGTGGTTCTTACAAGTGGAAATTCTTACTTTAAGTGTCAAATTGGTGTTGTATGTTTTGAATTTTTCATGTATACAGTGATGGAAGTAAATACTGTTATGTTGCAAGTATTCTTGAACAAATTGATTGTTCCCTCATTTTTGTTACTATCATATGAATAGAAAAACAGACAACATAGGAATTGACCCATAGGTGTATTGATTCCTTTCAGTACATCTCAAACCTGCACAACGATTAGAAACTAACTAACAAAGTGAAAATATTAGGTAAAAGCACCAATAACAGTTAAAACCTGAAATTAAAAAAAAGTCGGAAGCATGAATAAAATGTGTGGAATGCTACGCTTTTCAACGTTGATAGAATAGAAGCAATGAATGCATTCACATTGCTATGTTCGATTTTCAGCCATATCTCTAATGACGAAAATTATTATTTTTAAAATGTAGTAAGTACCGGTTGGTTAAAAGTAGGTCATATTTACTACAAAATAGATCTTAGTAAAAGTCAATAAAGATTAATGCTAGTTAGATCAATGTTGAAGTAAATTCTATCACATTTAAAGTTAGCAAACGATCGTGCGAGTACAAGTGAGTACTTTGATATTTTCTCCACACATAGTTCTGGCTTCAGCTCTGAAAGATTCAACAGTTTCGGATTTGTTTTTACATAGTATTACTACTAAGTATTCCAAACAGTTTTGTTAAAACATCATCTTGAGATAGTTCTCGTCATCAGTTAACTTATATTTGAGAACCATTCGAAAAAAAGACAAACCGGCTGTTCAATACTCTGTAGCCTTCAATAGTGTTACGGCTGAGAACCGTTTGTAACCGATTATCTATTAATTAAACGTATTGCTATAGCCCAACAACTAGATACTGAGCTTATTATATGTCTTTGTCTAAGTTTCTGGCATTTTCAATTCTTAAATATGAGTTACTGAAAAATTACAAGGTAGACTTTTAGTATTTCAAAGGATTAATGAATGTACGCGTAGGTGGAATTTTTATAGTTATATAAATTTCAATTGGCAAGGGAAAGATCGATCCACAGGTAGGCAGATGATTCCACAAGTGTGGAATTGAACCAAAAAATAAGTGTTTATATGTTATCAAGTTATCTGAGCTATAAATGTAACATAAAAGGAATGTGTACGAACATAAAAAAGAAAGTGAACAGATTTTCTTTGTTCAGATAGGTGAGAGGTATTGGATTTTTAAAGTAATTATGTCATTAAAAATAGTACAAACGGAGATTTGTACTTGGATTAACGTGTTTTGAACTCCCAGTTATCTCTCTGTAACATTTATGAAGTTACTTCGGCATTTCGAAATATGTAGATACCGTATAATAAGAAACTAAGCGTCTCGTGATTATCGTGTATACGATATGGTTTTCAACATTAAATTGTTCTAAAAATAGTGATCAAGTTTGTCTATCTTGATGTTTCATTTGACTCGAATTCACTGATATACTTGTTGATTGAGGTTCTACGGTGCCAAGTCATTCGGTTGAAGAGCAGTAAGTCTAGGGTCTAACGAAGAAGTAGTACATGTACTGAACTGGAAAGATGGTTTGATATTCAATATCTCTAGCTGTATTCTTTTAGACACAAATTTCCAAAGGTAGGAATAGGTTGGAAAACTTATGATTTACGGTCAGTATATTCCCACCTGGATCTTGGTTTCACTAAAAGGGCTCAAACTGGTGAACATGTGAAATAAAAAGTTGCTACAGAAAATCTGTATATAGCCAGTTTCAACCGCAAAAACTATGCTTTGAGATTAGGATTATGGGTTATTATTACATACATTATAAATCCAGTTAAATGTGTGTCCTCATGAGGAAGTACTCTTTCTAAAACTTGGGTTCAACTGATTTCGTCATTCCTTTTGTCTCAAAGTATTTCTCATATATATACGAATATTCGTCAAGATTAGAACGAATAGTTTGTGGTCCTGGGTTCCACTGCCTTTGGTGAGGTGTCGTGTAGTTATTTACGATTCACAGCAATCTTGTTGAAATAAGAGAAAATCGTTGCTGAATATGATTTCCATTGTTCAGTTACATAATCCATTATCTTTCAACGTGTCATTTGATCACATTTTTCTGACCCTAAAAATTAAACATGGGAGGTTTATTCTATTTGGGAAATGGAATAACACGATTAAAACATGTGTTTTCTCCTTAATGTAGTTTTCAGTATGTTTATCATCTTAACATTCTAACTTCTCCACTTAACAATGCGTCCAGAATACAGTCGTTTTAGCTTCTCAAGATCATGTGTAAACGTGAGTTCACCCTGAATTGATACAAAAAATATGTATCTCAAAATGTCACACTAAGCGAAGTTTGCACCTGTCATCCTGGCCGAAATTCATGATGAATTGATGCCAAAGATATTGACCTAAATATCATTTTCTTATCCCATCATATCACGGTTTACTAATAAAAAAAAGAGAAAATACGTTGGTGTTTTGGTAAAAAGTAAACAAGAGAGAATTTTTGACAGATGTAAGTGTCAGTTATTATTGCAAAGTAGTTGTGTTCAGCGCAATAAAAAATGGTCATTATTTATCTGAATGGAACCTGAGTTACTAGCGGCTTTCATTATTGATTAAAACCAGTCCTAGAATCATTATAAACTATGGAACTCTGGACACCTGTTAATCCTAGCTTATCACTTCTATTTGTGCTTACTTAATAACTAGCTTTAAACCAACTAGCGAAAATGACACCTTCACCTACCCAAATACAAATCTAATAATTTACATGTTCAGCTAAAGTCAATCAGAGATATATTTAGCCATTTCTTGATTTAAACTGAGTTCTGTTTTCTGAGCTAGATAGTTTGGTCTTGGAGCTTTAGATAGAAGTTTGTTGTTCAGAACAATGAAAGCTCTACGACCAAACCATCCAGCTCACAGAACAAAACTCCACCTCATTCATCTACCTGAGCTACAAAACCTTTCCACAATCTCAGCTGCAAGTAACTTAATAATTACAGATGTTCAGTGAAGGTAAATATGTAAAACAATTTAAAGATCAGATTAGCCTTTTCTAAAAGTGTAAAGCAGGTGACCCTGTGAAAAATGTTCTTTTGTACTCATTTGTCAAGATACATGTTTTAGCCAATTTTTATGATTGTTCACAATACGATAAACTTATGTAGCGTGTACTGACAAGAGTACTTTTCCCAGTTTATAGTGTAAGGGGAAATATCAATCAAACCAAAATTAAAATCTTTGATCTAAAAGCCCATTTTCGCGCCTCCTTGGACGGAACACTGTTAGACAGTTCAGCTGATATGCCTAATTCTCCTTACTACTCAAATGGAAATATAACATTCTTATAAGTCTAACTATTATTATGGTAAACAGTATGGAAGTCGGTCACGAGTAGTAGTAGTAATATTACAAGTGAATACTCTCCTTATGATATCTTAAGGTCATTTAAAACGACTATGATAAAAGTATACAATGACTAGTAGAGACAATCTGTGTCGGGTAAGCCAGTTACCAACCCAAGGCAATGGAAGATGGTCGCACAATGTCGTAGATTGATTGAAGTTAGACATCAACACCGTTGGGTGCCGACTCAGTGGCCTAGACATTAAAAGTTCGCATGCGGAACTGATGGTCCTGGGTTCCACTGCCTTTGATGAGGTGTCGTGTAGTTATTTACGATTCACAGCAATCTTGTTGAAATAAGAGAAAATCGTTGCTGAATATGATTTCCATTGTTCAGTTACATAATCCATTATCTTTCAGAAAAAATTATTGTCTATTTTATCATATAGGATTGGAAATATTGAAATGCTAACCACAAAACTTGACCATCTACATTTTGTTCTGTAACAAGGAATTATCAATTCCTTGGGTGACATGACACTGTTGTAAAAGCTAATTTAAACAATGCTAAGTTCAGGTAATTCTGTGATGTATACTTTACTTGGACTGTATGATAAACTGTTTTTGACAAACATTTGTGATCTGTTACATAAAAGAGGATTTGTTACCGGTGTATGGAAGATTACATGAAGCACTATAAATAAACAGTTTACATTTAATGTTATTTTACACACACATAGGATCCAATTAATTCTCTTTTCGGATCATTTCTCTCAAATATTTTCCTTGTCATACTGACTACTTCCCAATGAGAATTAATCGAAGATTTGATGGATCGATAAAGAAGATTTACGAGTGGTGGAAAAATTAGTTTCACTTCGAAAAAATCAATGATTTTATCAGGTATACACATGATCTTGAGAAGCTAAAACGACTGTATTCTGGACGCATTGTTAAGTGGAGAAGTTAGAATGTTAAGATGATAAACATACTGAAAACTACATTAAGGAGAAAACACATGTTTTAATCGTGTTATTCCATTTCCCAAATAGAATAAACCTCCCATGTTTAATTTTTAGGGTCAGAAAAATGTGATCAAATGATTCGTTGAAAAATATATGAGAAATACTTTGAGACAAAAGGAATGACGAAATCAGTTGAACCCAAGTTTTAGAAAGATACTTCCTCATGAGGACACAAACATGTAACTTGGTTTAAGCTGATGATTATAGTGAATTTTATTTTAGATGTCTTTTTATGAATAAAAATGTTTATATGAAATATTTAGTTTTATCTTTTAATTGATTTCATAATCTATTTTTAAATTTAGATTGACCAAGCTTTTGTAAACAAACAAATTAATTATTAATATAGGGGTTGTGTAGATGACTAAGTTTGTGATTGAGATCATGAACCGATTGATGTTAGGCCACCATTGAAAATCTTGAAGCACTGGACGGCCGTTTCGTCTTGTTGTGGGAATCCTCAGAATTGCGCACCCGAGATTTCACTGGCGGAATTCGAACTCAGGGCCTTCAGTCTTGCGCACGGACGCTTAACCTACTGGATCACCGAGACGGCACACAGTGGTGTTAATGTCTGAGCTCAACCAATCCACGAAATTACACGACCATCTTCCATTGTACTGAGGTAGATAAATGTCTCTACCCGACACGGATTAGCTCCTCTGATCACGGTGTGGTGTAGGTTTCTTATATCCACACTTCGGATGTAGATGGCTCAACAGGCCACTGGAGCGCAGGCGCTGAATGTCCCAGGTGCC